CAACTACTACCAACTACTAACCACCCAACACCAAATTCTTATTCATTCTTCTTATCTTATAACTCAACTATTAAATTAAAAGATTCAATAACCATCCAAATTGATTTTATAGAAATCTTAGCTCTAACTCAAATACATAGCACTACTATTAACCAATCAACTCCATCAATACAACCACAAATAATTCTTTTATCATATGAAGCTTAACTTATCCAACAACTTATCAATATACCATCATATCAAAAACAACTAATTGATTTAAATTACCTTATCTTCCAACTTAATACAGATAAACTATACTTCTATACTGATGGATCAATCAAAAATTTACAAACTCCAGAAACCAAATGTGGTATAGGATGGATTTGTAAATATGATACATCCATAAAATTTAATGCAGCTTTACAATCCTACCCTGACTCAACCCACATCAAACTTGAGGCAATCCTTACCTTCTTATTTGCAGTTCCTTCTAACATTCTTTTAAATGTCTATATTAACAATACAACTGCAATCAAAAACCTCAACTCAGCTACCAACTCCAAACCTATACAAACTAAAAACTGTGACATTATTTACTATATTAACTATCTTAAACAACTTAAAAACATCACTACTACCCTTCATAAAGTAAAATCACACTCTACAAACTCTTTTCACAACCAAGCAGATTCATTTGCCAAACAAGAAACTACAAAACATATTCTTAAAATTAATAACTCAAAAATTAACACTCCAAACCATTTCATATGAAATAACTATCTAATTCTTATTAAAGTTCACATCTTCATCAAAAACTCTATAACTATTCAAGAAATTGTCAAATAATCAAACTTAAAATTCCTCCAAAATATCACAAACATTAAATGATCATTAAAATTTAAAATCATCTCCTCTCTCGAAAATAACCTACAAAAATACTCCTTTCATATTAAAATTCTCACTAATAATCTACCTACTATGCAAAATCTTAATATCCATTATCTATATCTTTATACTACTCCAAACTGCTCTTGCTGTACTAATATTAAAGATACTCTTCATTTATTTTTATGCCCTAGCAATATTACAAACATTCTACAATTAATCAAAAATACAATACAAGATATTCTAATATTACTAAAAATTACCAACATAACCTCAACAACCTTATTAAATATTCTTCTAAATTTCATACTTAACATACCAAATCCTCAATTCAAACATATTTTACATATTATTACAGGGACCTTCTTATCTATTATTTATAAAAATATCAAAAACACTTATAAACAAACAAACTGATGCCCTTCTACTTCAGCTTTTAAATGATCTATTAAACTGGTTCTATCAAGATCTTTGGTCTACTCGCAACACATATCAACATCAATGGAAAATATCCTGAAACATTATATCTAAATCTAAATGCACTAAATTTACTTACCAACATCACCAAATCCTTCAAACAATACAACAATCTTTTCTTAAACTATAAATTTTAACCCCTTTATCATCAAATGGCTTACACAAGGTTTTTCACTAACTTCTTGTATTTAAATGTCTCCTCCAATCTATCCTATCTAGAACCTAATTTGAAATAGTTAACTATAGCATTCACAGAAAATAGGAGATGTAATATCACATTGGGTGCCAATTTGTAGCACAAATGTAGTTTAGAAATCTTTAATTTTAGAACTTATGATTCTATATGTAAAAATTTCTACTTGAACATTATATAATAAAAAAAAAAAAAAAAAAAAGATTTTGCTAAAATTGCATTATATAAAAATTCACTATTTCAAAATTTAGCTGCAAGGTCACAATTTTTGATACCAAGTTCATTTTTTTGGTAATATAAATTACACCATTGACTGTTAGTTAAGATACCTCTTTTTTTCTTTTAAGTCTTATTAAGGTTATTGTTAATTTGCTACTTATTTTTAGTTGGATTTATTTTTAAAAAAAAAAGACATTACAAAAATTTTTAACAAGATCAGATTCTTTATTCTTAAATAATATTATACAAATGTTATTATACTACAAATATTTTACTTTATTGAGGTATTTGTTATATCAAGATGATTTTCTTATAAGTAAATTAAAAATTCTTTCATAATTCGATATATCAAAGTTTTATAATTAAAATTCGATATATCAAGATATTTTTAATATAAAAAATTTAGGTTGAAAAAATTCTTTATTATAATATCACTTTTGGTTTATTGGGATTTGTTATATTTAGGTTATACTGTAATAAAATTAACTTGTAGATTTACATAAATTAACTAATCAAATTATTTAATTTTGTACTATCAAGGCAAATTTTAATTAATCTAGGCAAACTTTATCATATATACAAGTATGTTTTTTAAAATAATATAATAGTTCAAAATTTTACTATAATAGATAAATAATTTTATTTATAATAATATAAATTTTTTTTATTAATTAATTAAAAAATAAAAAACTTTTATTAGTAATATATTTTGTAATTACTATATAAATTTTTTTTCATAACTAATTATATATAGAAATAATCTACATTGTACTCTATTCTTAAAATATTATCATCAAAAAATTTAAAATTATAAAAAAAAATTTATTAAGTTGATTAATTTTAAAGTTTAAATAAAAATATTCTTTTAATTAACTTATTTTTAGTTTTTTTAAAATAAAAAATTAATTGTTCTAACAAAATTTTGAATAAATTACTTATAATATTAAAGATTTAGTTATAATTTTTTAAATCAAATTAAATATTGTTAAATTAAATCAAATTTGATTATATATAAATTTAATTTGATTTAAAATTTCTGTATTTATATTTAATTTAAGTTCAAACATTTGATTAAAATTAATCAAATCAAATCAAATACGTAGCAGAACTCTATTTAATACTGTATAATGTTTTATTTTTAAATATCCTAATATCTTTTTAACTATAACTTCTTTTTTTTTAACATTACAAAAAGTATTTACTATACACAGTTTTGTTAAATACTTTTTTTAACTAATTTTTGTGTTTAAATAATTAACAAAAAGAATGTAACATGAATATTAATTAGATACATTATTGTTAAAATAAATGTATATAAATTTTTAGAAAAAAAATTTAATCATAATTATTAAATTTTTTATATATTTTGAATAAAAATAGTTTAATAATAACATACATGTAGAATTAAAAATATTTAAACAAAATTTATATACATATTGTGAACACGTAGATATGTAACACATGATTTAGAAGGTTTCTCATTATGTAAACATATAGATGATCGCACTTGTGAAAATTCTTTGTGTATCAGTTGGCGAACATGTCGTTTACAATTGCAGACGTATTAATCAAATTAATTGACGTACCTAAATTTTAGGGAAATTTACAAATAAGGGTCCGGAAAGTGAAATAATTACTAATACGGACCAAAATTAAAAGTAATTACGCATACGGGCCTAAGTTTTAAAAAGTATTACATATAAGGGTCTAAGTCTATTGTTGGCTGGAAAAAAACGTGATCACAGAACTATGTGTCACAAAGTACTATAACCATTTAACTTATAACGATAGCAAAATCTTATAGGATTATTGTTTTATTATAGACATTTAGAGTTATCTATATATCAATTATTAGATAAAAAAAGTAATGAAACGCTGGCTATAATCATTTTCACTTAAATATCGCATAAAAAAAATAACGTTAACCTAGCACAATTATTATAAGACGATAAATTTTAATCTCAAAGTTGAACAATTATCTTCCATATTAGTAAATGTTATACCAATTCGCAGTGCTTTACTTGATATCAGTGTACTGTAGTTCCTGGATATGGACCATGGAAATAGAGAGACTATATATAGGGTGTCTATATCCATGGACAGGCGTCCGGAACTTCTTTGCTTGGTATCATAATGGTTTGTTATAACAATAACCAATTTTATACAAAGAAAATGAAATTTATTAAATTTAAAAAATTTCTTTTCTCGTTTATAATTACTAATTTACAATAGATCGTTACATTTTTTATGTACTTAATAACTACATTTATCGATGCTTATATTTATTATGCTAATAACGATCAAGTCATAGGCTTGAATAATGTTGCTGTAATATTTTTTAAAAATTAGGCCTTTATGTATCTATTTTTAGTTTGGCCCCGTATTTGTAATTACTCTCACTTTTCGGGCCCTTATTTGTAAATTTCCTTAAATTATATATATAAATTTTATAAAATTTTTTTTTTATTTTTCTTCGAAGTTTAATGGTTAAAAACTTCAGATACTTATTCTTGAGTATCTAAGATTCTTTGTTAAAAGTTCCTTTACTATGTTCCTCAAGTCAAAAAACTGACCCACTATAAAATATTATAAATATTTTTTTGACGATTAGTCGGTCGTTTAATTTAAGGAACATATATTATTATAATTATTGATGGCGTGTCAGTCTTTTGACTAATAAACATTGTAAATAAACGTTCAACTTTGGGGTCAAGATTATTTTTTATCTTTATTATTAACTATTAGTTAAATTTCGTGCAAAGAATCTTCAGAAACTCAAGAATAAGTATCTGAAGTTTTAACTTAACTTTTATATTAAACTTTGAATAAAATTTTTATAAAATTTATATATAAAATTTAGGTACGTCTATTAATTTGATGCAAAAAATTTCAAGGAGCTGCATACCGTAAAAACTCGAAATAACTTTAAAACCAAATTTCGCCCAAGTTAAGCCAAACCTCGAAATAACGCCCATGGTCATTGGTTGTTATTTCGAGTTTTTACAGTATATTGATATATATATATAATTTAGGAGATCTAGAGGGGGATACTTTGATGGGCATTGTAATAACTCTTCTATTGTATAATCACTAATTTTATATGGATAATTACAAAATTATTACTAAAATAAAATAAATGAATTTAATCTTATATTATAAAATACTATAAAGTAGAACATATTTTCCATAAGACAATATAATCCCGGTCTAATTAAAAGAGCATTTCCACCAGCGAAGGTGGCTATTAAATTAAGCAGTTACCAAACCAAAGGGATAAACAACCAATCCCTAATAATTCATGAAAACTAACATGTTCCAAAATTGAAGTTGCACTAGAAATACTACTTGGAATATTTTGATCAAGGAATTGAGGGTCACATTTTTGAGAAAAAAATGCGGGAGCCATTGAAACTATTGGCCCAAATGGTGTGCAATTGAATGCCGTTGGAGCTTTTTTCGTATACAAAAGGATTTTTGTGAAAATTGCCTTTAGAATAAAAGCAATAAAATTAAATACGCATATCGATAATAAAAATCCAAGATTAATAAATAAATATACCTTATTGCAATCTGTACAAATCACTTGGCTTGACAAACTTAATAGAGGTTTCATTACTGACATTAGCGACATATCAGGTGGGCAAGTATCATTGGAGATACTTTGTGGAGCATTGAAAGTACTTTGTGGAATCGGAATAGGGGTAGATGAACTAATAGCATTATTGGTTGTAGCCATAGTGGTAGATTCAGCGATACTTGTCGTTTTAGAATTTCCAAAGATTTCCGAAGCAGTAGACGTAGGAATGTTGGACACTTTTGAAAAAAAAATGCGAGTAGTGATTACGGTTGAACCACCTAAGTCCTCAATGTTCGTGTTGTCGATATTAGTTTTTTGTATACAACGTTTAGAAACAATATTATCTGGGGAACGTCTATTAACATTATTGGGAGCTGATGATGTGCTGTTGAGAGCATTACCAATATTTACTAGAGTCTCCAAAACGCAGAAAGAATTATATTTGTTCGCAGAATCTCTTAAACATATAATATCTCTAACTAAATCATAATAATTAAACAACTCAAAGAACGTTGTGATTATTAAATTTTTTGATTCGAGATCTTGAGAGCATTGAGATTTTAGTGTTTGAAGTAATTGCAGGATTACATCATTTGAGCATGGTTTTAATGCACATGTATCTTTTACCAGTTGTGAGAGAACGTTTAGCTTTCCTGTTGGGTTACTCGAGGATTTATCAAAGAGTAATGGCAAGCTCAATTCCAAGGATTTAATTGGAATGCAGTTGTTTAGAGATTTGTCATCAGCAGCAGACGAGATATATTGCGCGCATAATGCAGTTAGATTATATGCGTTTGGATCTATTACAGATTGAGCTTGAAATAAATTAATGAGAAGTGTAATTATAAATAGACTAATGAAAAATTTAATTAATAATTTATCACGCATGATTTATATTGGTTAAGGGATGTAATTGTTGATAATTAGGGATGCCATACAAAGGAAAGTGAAAAGGTAATTCGCCAAGCGAAGGACGTCTCGTTTAAAAAACAATGAAACTTAACCGCACTTCTCCACGGATATTGTCGGTATCAAAAAAAGAAAAAGAGGAATGCATATATACATATATACATATATTCATATATACATGCAGCAGTAATTAGACGTTTATTGACGTGATGATCATTGTTCTTCTAATACTTGATTGTTTAAGAGATCGACCAAATGAAGAAAACAAGAGATGGCTTATAGTGATTTGTTTGATGTTTTTAGTAAAAAAAAAGAATTTAATGGTTTAAACTTCATGTTAAACATATTGACTCGAAAATTTGCATAGATAAAATTCATTTTGAGTAAAAGAAACTGTTCACTATCACATGATGCATGATTTCAGTAATAGTAGTAATATCAAATCTAATATGTACTGTACGTAAGTACATGCGTAAATCAAAACCCCCATCCCGATATGGTATCGAGATCGTAATAAAACGCAAAAGCAACAAGTTTATCTGATCCGAAATGGTATCCGTACACCCCGACAACTGAATGCACCTTTATTAGCTTAATTTACAAGGTGAAGGTGATGGAAAGTCCTATGTAACATTAAACAAATCAAATATTTGTTCTGTGTCCTTTCTCTCAATCCTATTTGGTAATTTTATAACCAATCGTGTTATAGTTAGTGTTATGGTAGTGTTATGGTAGTGTTATGGTAGTGTTATGGATAGTGTTTGATAAACTGACAAGTCATACTGAAAAGTCATTGAAAGGGTTTAATTCCAACCCTGTTTAAAAAAACCTGTATCTTCATGATAAATATTAGCATTTAATTTAACAAAGATAAAACAAATTCCTTAAGTGAACAATTTAAAAAAAATCCAATTTCTCTCAATTCTCTTATCTTGATCATTAATATTTTGTCTCACATCACAAACAGTATCTTTTGCATAATAATGCATATTTCGGACTTGGTAATTTTTCATATGTACATAAGCACTAACAACTTTAAGTTAATTACATAATGCGTAACTCGATTCACACATATATGCGTTTCTAAGATAAATACGTAAGGAAACCATTAATGAGCATACATAAGCACTAACAACTTTAAGTTAATTACATAATGCGTAACTCGGTTCACACATCTCACACATATGAGTTTCTAAGAAAGAAGACATTAAAAGTAATTTTAAGAACTCGTACAAGTTGCATATTGATTATCTTGGTATCTTGGCAAACATACGTACAGTATATTTTAACAACCAAAGTGACGGAATATGCATTGGGTTACAAAGAAGTTCTACTACTTATCACCTGTTAAAGCATTTAGTTATTATGTTTTTGAAGTATCCATTTTTGAAACAAAGGGAATTATTAAATATTTGAATATTTTGTAAGCTTTATTTAGTATAGTGTACGCAACTTGAAACCCGCCAAGCAATCATGTGATTTGAATCGTTATGTCTAATGCTATATATCACTAACTATAAAGATAATTACTTATGAAACACTCACCTGTACACAATCATTGTGTGATACACTTGTTTATTGACCACGACCTACTTTATTTGTTTGTGTTACTATGATAATTAGCATGTTTTTGGATTACGGTAGTTTAAATCTTAATAATTCTTCCTTTGTTTTTCTTCCCGCTTTAGTTCTATAATTAAAATTAAAGAATTATTATATGTATATGTTAAATCTGTTAAATCTGTTAAATATATTGAATCTCGTCTTTTTGTTCATAGTTAAAGATATTGATTTTTCGATTTTCATGATTTTCGAAACAATATTTAATTTATATGTAAATCTATATTGTATAGTCAATCCAGTAAATCCTATCACTAACGACATTTATAATATGATGTTTCTACTTTTTCGCACTAAAGCAATTGATCAATTATCTGAATCTGTTACACAACATAATGTCCCGTTTTATTCGTCAAATTTCCTATTAATTTTCCCCTTGATGTTTGAAACAAATACGTTATACCCGCATATACCTACAAAAAAAAATTAGCGTTAAATGTAAGAACCCACGTGTTCTAAAAAAGGACTCTTAAGTAATACAATTTCTATGAATGATCAAATTGTTTCTTAATAATGTTATGATACAACGCAGAAGATATAAATATTGCTGAAACCCAGCATTGGTTTTTTAAGAAACAGTTCTTCACTTCCATTAGTTGTCGACCCAACTTGATAAATCATTGATTGATTTCTCGTTCTTTTAACTAAAAATACTTTTTCCGTGGGATATTTTGCCTGGTGCAATTTTTCACGTAGGTTTGTAAAAAAGAAAAGAAAAGAAAAAAAACAACTTTATCATCCTTATTTACACGAAACTTTGTATATAGGATCTTACTTGAATAATATCCCTCAGAAAAAGAATACCTAAAAAAAAAAAAAAAATCAAAATAATATATTAATAATAGAAATGATGGACTTTAAAATCAGATTTATCACCCTATTTATTTCCGTATTATGGTTCTTAACGACTTCGACTCATGCCACCCTTAATGGAGCTACTTGCCAGGGTACTAAACTACAACCTTCTAATGGAACTCAAAATCCAAACGGTGATTGTGTTGGTACTCAAATGGGCGAGATTCCAACCAAAAACAATATGATCTCCACTCTCATACTAGAACCACAAAATGGTCAGGCTATTCCTGCAAATCAAGCATTCACTGTTACAACAAAAACTATCGGTCTCAATGCCGGCTTTTTCTCTGATCCAGCTACACAGTATTATACACTCTCTCAATCTCTTGGTGGAAATGGTTTGATTAACGGGCATAGTCATGTTACCATCCAACCACTTAATGGCAACACTGTCCCTGATCCACTAACATTTGCGTTCTTCAAAGGATTAAATGATAAAGCCGATGGCAGTGGAAATTTGGCTGTTCAAGTAACAAATGGCTTACCACCGGGCCAATATAGAATTTGCACTATGGTCGCTTCAGCAAGTCATCAACCTCCTCTTATGCCTATTGCTCAGCGTGGTTCTCAAGATGATTGCATCAGGATTACAGTTACAGGAGGTAATAATAATAACAATCAAGGAAAAGGCAATAACAATAATCAAGGAAAAGGCAATAACAATAATCAAGGAAAAGGCAATAACAATAATCAAGGAAAAGGCAATAACAATAATCAAGGAAAAGGCCAAAACAACAATAATCAAGGAAAAGGCCAAAACAACAATAATCAAGGGAAAGGCCAAAACAACAATAATCAAGGAAAAGGCCAAAACAACAATAATCAAGGAAAAGGCCAAAACAACAATAATCAACCTCAAAACAACAATAATCAAGGCAAACAAGTCCAAGGAAATCAGGGTAAGGGTCAAACTAACACTCAACCTAATGGAACTCAAGGCAAAGGTGCAAGGAGTGCGAAAGGCAAAGGAAAAGGAAAGGGAAAGGGAAAAGTAGTTAACAAGAGAGATGCAAATGCGGAAGCAGAAGCAAAAGGCAAAGGAAAAGGGAAGGGAAAAGGGAAGGGAAAAGGAAAGGGAAAAGGAAAGGGGAAGGCAGTTGCAGTATAAGAGAAATTTCTTTAATTTAATGATTGAGTAAACTTTTTTTTATTTAAATGTATATTCATTTGTGTGGGGGGTTTTTTTGTCCATGTACACAATAATTACGCTAAGAATAAAGAATTTCTTTTGTTTATAGCAATTACAAAAAAAATTCTTGATCTCGGCTTTTTAAAATATTAAAATAATTATAGAAAAAGCTTTCTTGGTTAAATAAATTTTTTTTAAAAATACGCATCTTTTGGTCTATTACTTTTTTTAATAATGATCAATTGATCGATTTGCAAGAAATTCAATATTAATCTGAACTTTAGTATATTGAAGCCTATCACTACGATCACTATGGATCTATTACGATCTACTACTTACTACTCGAATCAATTTAGCTAAACATGAAAAAGTTACCGATTTCGATCATAGTGATAACTGATATTCCATTACTGATTTGTTTATACTTATTAACTTAAAATAAGGAATAACCTTATACTAAAATTTTAAATATTACTTCAGTAAATTATAAACTTTCATAAGTTTAATAGACTATTAATCGAATGTTCGTTTTATAATTAATTATATTAATATTCACTATAAATTGAATGTTTCGTTTTATTATTATTCATTATTGTTACGTATTATCATTAATTATTAATATATAATATATAATAATAATAATAATATTATTATTATTATTATTATTATCGCTATTTCTTTTGTTCTTTTGAATTTATTCCCATAAAACTCGTTTGTCTACGCTTGTTATTTGTTTATATCCAACGTGGAACACCAAAATTATTAGAATACAAATTAAGGAAATGATTACGCTAACAAAAAAGTATCAAGCAATAATAAGCGATACGTACTATATATTTATAATTTGAATAATAAACCAATTTATATTTTAAGTTAAATAAAAATAGTTAACAAATAAGTAATACAATTATATGTACTAACCATTCTTATATTAATTAACCATTTTAAGATTATTGTATATCTAAAAAAAGACAATCTGTTCCAGATGTAAATAATGACATTAATTGGGCATCAAACTAGTAAAATCAAACATTAATTTTATGAAAATCCGAATTTACTGCGGATGATATCAACTTTCGGTACGCTTCACTCTCGAACTGGTAAATAATTAATGGTCTAATTCTTTTTTAAATGATAGTGCAAATTGTATACTTTAATGTAATAGAACCATTTTTTCGATTTATACTATTTTATAAGCAGTAAATTCTTTAACAATGTAAAATAAACTTTACCTAAATTTGACAAACATAGAGCAATGAAAATTGTAAAATCGAGCCTATTATTGAAAAGAGCATAATAAAAACTATCGATTAAAAAAAAATTTGACATAAAAACTATATTATTTGCTCAAAAAGTGTACCTTTAGTAGTTATTTAAAAAAAATCTATGGTATATTGCACTAATACCTATAGTTAATTTTCCTAAATTTCCGAAATTATTAAAATAACCAATAAAAAATCCTCAATAATAAATAATACATGTAATGTAAAGCCTGCTCTAAATCTTTGTGAATTTTATTAAAAGTCACTTAAAATATTTTTGCAATTTGTATCGGTAATGAAGATACCTAATCCTAAAATCATAGTTTACTTTTAGAGACATCAGTCGGTAATCCGTTATTGCTCAACCGACAGATCGTGGTTATAACCGACCGACTAGCTGACCATCCTAGTACCGTATTGTCTCGAAATAGCGCCCGGGGTGTAGGTTAACATTTGGCCCGAATTAATTGTAATTCGGCCTAAATTAGACTTAATTCGAGCCAAAGTTTTAACCTACACCCCCGAGGCGTTATTTCAAGATGTATAAAATAATAGACATCATTAACTTTATTTTATTTCTTTAGGATCAGGTTTACTATTTATTCTAATCGTTATTCTACTTATTCGAACATGTTCCTCCAAAAAAAGCACCAGGGAAATATCTCCCTTATATACTTTTTTATTACAATGTTAGTTACTAACTTTCTCCTGGTAGTTACTAATTTTACCTATTTGGTTAGTAACCACCTCTGACAGTCCATAACCAACAGTCTATCCAATTTTGAAACACCTCAGCCGATGCGGCTACCAACCTCATACAATAACTAAAATAGATATAAAATAGGAATTAAGGAAATAGTTTATTAAATTTCTATTCAGCGTGATAAAAATTCCTTTAACCAAAGTTTTATGTTAAAAGTTAGACTATGCTTTTTTCACTTCGTTGATCGAAAATCTAAGGAACTTTTGGTTCGATGCTAATTTGTCATTTTAAATTCAATCTGTTCAAATCTCATATTCGGATTTGTTGTTAAAGCAGACTTTTAAGTATAGTGAGATCCGAATACCGTGACCGATCACGTGAAAAATGCATGAAATGCATTAAAAAAACATTAAAGTGATAATTGTAAATAGCTTTAAGTAGGTTTATTAAATATTAAGTGTAAAGTCGCATTTGTAAGCGACTAAATTGAATAATATAAATAAAGGCCAAATGGTCCCTTAGGAGCGTTATACTTCGTTTGCTTTATTAAATAATAAGTCCTAATACTATACATCATCCATAATATTACATTAACACTCACCCAGTATAAACCCTATAAACCCCTAAGTTCTTGTTCACGTGACTTACCCTACTTGTCTTCGTTGACCCAAGCAACCAAAAGCCTTAATCACCAACCAGCCAAATCTAACACCCTCTTTCGAAAGGTTACCTATCGTTAGTTACACGAGATTCTGGATTGTGGAGCAATTTTCCGAGCACGACAGTATTTGTTATTGATCATGTTGTGGAAGATAACTGATTATTCATTAGGACGCCGTATTTATAATATGGCCATGTCATAACGTGGTATCCACTGTGAAGAAAGCATCGATTTTCGGCCACAATTTGACCAATAATACAGTCATCCAACATGCCTGACTTAAAACACTGAACAATTTTCGTGTAACTTATTCGGCCCCCTTATAATACAAATATAGGACATGTCGGATACCGGTAAGTTATCATTCATACATGGTTGAAACAGAAAATAGTACGTAATACTCCAATTGCATCAATAATCTAATGAACCTCTTTATTATTGTATATCCGAAACGACATTTATACTTATGCCGTGTTCCCTGTTAACATTTTGCTTTAGCATTGCTTTGGCGGCCATACGTTCGTTAGAATATAATCTAATTCCTGTTATTTAATCGATAATAAAAAATTAAAAGTATGTGGTGTATTATTTTTCCATGCCTGATTTTTAACGCCCTGGTGTAAGAAGCTTTTATAAAATATGAATACTCCGATCATCGTTAATTTGGTTCAAAATACAAAAAAAAACTATTATTATCATTATTATAATTATATTAATTATGGATATTTCGATCTTACGCATGAATAAGTATTATTCATATCTCTATTTTTCTTCTATGTGCAATTTTTAATCCCAGCAATGAGGCTTTCTGGTATTGTGTAATAAGATAAAATGAATTCCAGGAAGTTTCACAACTAAGCTCAAAAATTATACACATAACAAAGACATCGGTACATGCATCACTCCCCATAATAAATTGGTTTGACGTATCTCAGAAACAATGTTCATTCTGATACATTTCAATATTAAGGCAAATCTCCTTGAAACTGTTGCATAGCATATACACATATCAATTAAAATCTATGGGCTGTAATAGTTTCTATTGTATCTCTCATATTAAATAGATTTAAATGATTTTATATTTAAATAATTTTAATTTAAAAAAATGATTTAAATATATCTTTTTTGTTATTGAATAATAAATTTATTGTGTAGTAAATTTATTTATAATGTAATAATAGTAGTTATAGTATATGTTCTAATAGTAAGCATAAGATATTGGTTATGCAACGATTAATATCATGAAATTTGTTTTGTCGGGATTTAAAAAAATAACAGAAAAAATCTATGACCATAAGAGTTTGACAATAACTATTATTCATTGGTCAAATAAGTTGACATATCCAAATTTTATATACAAATTTATGCAATAAATTATTAATGGAATCTTTGGTTTATTAGGCATAAAAAATTAATTGGTTTTCATAACCCGGCCGGGTCAAAGTTTAAAAGCTTGTAAAAATTTTTTTTATATGTATTAATAACCGGATGGATTTTAAAAAACAATTTTACAAAAATTTTATAAATTTATATATGAAATATTTTAAAAAAAGCCGGCTAGCCGGGTCTGTTCAAAAGTTTCATGTTATGAAAATCAAGATATTAAATTTGTGTGACTTTATATAGTTTTTTTTATTAATAAATATTGATTATCTTATTTATTCTTTCTGATAGTTAAATTGAATAAATTAAAGTTAGTATATAGTAAAGTATTGATTTTTTTCTATTAACTATATTTTGATTAGTTAAAAATTAATTAATAAAAATATTTTAAAATTAAGTTTAAAATTGACCAATAATAAGAAGCTAAAACATGTAACTTGTCTTATTTTTTGGTTAAATTTTTATATATTATATAAAAATAATATATTTTTAAACTTATTAAATAAAAAATTATAATATGTTTAAAAAAAATAAGATTTTAAATTGTAGTAAATTAATTAAACTACAAAACAGTAGTTTATTTTTTGTAATATAGTGTTTAAAGTAATAAGTAGCTGTAAAACATATTAAATTTAATATAGTAAAAATATTAAATTTTTAAAAAATTATTATTAACTTAAAATTAAATTTATAAAATATAATTCTAAATTATATTTTATTTTTGCATATTTAAATTTTTGTTAATTTAATAAAAATTATATTAATAAATTTAAAAATTATAACAACTTTTTTTTTAATATTAAAGATAAAGCAATGTTTTTATCTTTATTAAAACTTAGTTAAACTTTTTACAAACAGAATAAATATAAAAAATTTATATTTGAATTTTATATATATAAGGTATTAAGATTAGAAGCTCAAACAAATTATTTATAATATAAACCTATCAAAGTAATTAAGGTTCATCTAGATTTCAGAGTTATAATTATAATAAGAGAGTTTATTTAGTTTTTGATCTATTTAAAATATCATATTTCAATTTTTGAACTAGTAATTAAGTATAGTGCATAGTAAGTTAATAAATTTTAAAAAGTATAAAATATTAAAATTGGTTGAGATTGTTTGCTAGATTGAGACCTAGAAGTATAATATAGTATTTAATTTGAGTATAATTTGTTAATTGAAATAAGATAGAAATTTAATAAAAGTATAATAACAATATTAGTAAATAAAAAATATTTTTAATTAAATTAATTAAGTTATAAAAAATTAAATCAAACAGAGTTAATTACAAAAAAGATAAATTAGATGTATTGTAATTTTGTATATAATTAAAGTTTTTGATTTAGTTATATATATCAAATATAGTTCTTAATGATGTGTCAAGAATA